AGGCGTGGAGACGGGACGAAAACTAGATACATTGTCCGGGTTATGTCCCAGCTCAGATATCATCTGGGCGACGGTTGGTAGCATGCTGGCTGATTTCATGATGCGTCACGTAGAGTATGTGGCAGAGAACGGTGGAAAAGAATGGATTCCTCGGATTTGAACTGTAGGGTTGAGCGCAAAATGAGAAGTGCGCGGGTAGCTCAGTAGTAGAGCGTTCGATTGCAGCTCGAATGGTCGTTGGTTCAATTCTGGTCTCGCGCTATATATCGTGGGTTGTGATGTCGTGTATGTCGTGATTTTGACCGACCGCATTCGTCTGCTCAACGGCTTGGAGCCGCTCCGACAGAGCGTGATACTCCTCAACGTGAGGCATCCGGTGCACAACATGCTCCATGCTCTCTATCACTTCCGAGCAGCGGATGCGACCCGAGCATATTTAGCAAAGTCCCGATCGTGACGGAACTCGTCCTCAAGAGCTCGAAGGGTATTCCAAGTCACCGGACGGGGCTGACCCAGTCGCCATTGTCCACTGCTGACTCTTCTCGACGAGAATGGTGGTGCTCACTATCACATAGAGCGTCTTCTGGATCGACGTTGTCGCCATGGTCAAACTTAGTATTTTATGGAGTGCGGAAATTCCCCGAATCCGAGAACTCGGGGGTGGGGGGTTGAATTGCAACTTCGGCAAAACTGTCCATATGTCTTGAGTGCTTAAGATCAGAGGGATCATGTCATTCTGCATCGTCTCTGGCGAAACCGCTGCATATGATGAAGAGCTCTTTGATGCGATGGGAGCAGCCGCACCGAAGATTATCCTCGCTGCACAACTTACAATTGAGCCAGAAATAGGTGGATGCGTGCGTAAAACGCCATCATTGGTTTGAGTCTTTCATCGGATTGTCTTCCTGTGACGTATGGATTGATCCATCACGCCCCCGCGAGCTTCGTGGTCCTCAATCGGGTGAGTCTGCGACCGCAACAGCTCGAGGCCATACCTTAAGTTCAGCTCATGCGATCACCACAGGACAGGAGCGCCTCCTCATTGAGCAAAAGATCGAGTGCGGTACATATCCACCGAAAATTCTCTGGAAGCCGATTAGCGAGCTCGGGAAGCATTTCGTCATCAAGCTCAATTCATGTAGTGACCGGGGGCCCGACCACGTAGTCGCATAACGATGGAGTGATCGCGTCCTTCGCTTCTGCAGCGGGATCCGCCCAGTGGAAGCCGTATTCTTCACGAGGGTCAAGGACTGACAGTGGATGCGCGCGCATGAGAGTCGCCTTGCGGACACAATCCTGTTGTTGCATCTGGGCCTCGTTGAGGTGATTAGTAATGATACTACTTTCCCCAGAAGTCGAGAGTTTGGAAACAGACGCGGCGTCCGCAAGGCTCGAGCAGAGTTCACGTCTCGCTGCTGAGCAACCTCGTTTTTCTCTTCTTCCCATCCTGTGAAAGGAGTTTTCGATTCCTTGTCGGCATCCTCCAATTCCTCGACGAGGTAATCCATCGCCCGTGGCGGGCGCGGTGCGCGGTCGGGAGTAGACA